TATCCAAGTATTTGATAAAAATGTGAAACATCATAGGACCAAGCATCATGGGTGCCACACTGGAGACCTCTTGCCACATTGATACTATCCCATCAACAACTACTTTTTTGAGTCTAAACCAGTTCTGAATCCTTATGATTGTACTGGCATCAATTCCATATCTCACTATCTTCTTCACAAGAATTGTATGAAGTTTTTTATCAAAAGTTTGCTAAAACCTAGGTAAACTATATCAATAGCATGTCCCTCATCTAGTAATTTAATTTTGTAAAAAGAATTCTACTATTAATCTTGTAAAATACAAAGGAAAAAACTTTAGTTAATCAGGTATGACTTGCTCAATTGATGAAACCACATAATCATTGTTTTCCTTTCTGTATTTGCCAGTCATCTCTTTTAATTATCCTTTCTAGGATGTTCCCGGGATTAAAGTTAAACTCACTGGCTTTTAGTTTGCAGACTCTCTTCTCTTTCTTGAAAATCAAGGCAACATTTGCCCTTCTCTAACCTTATGGTTGGGTAGCTAGGTGACTCAGAGGATAGAGTTCCAGGCCTGGAGTCAGGAAGATTCATGAGTTCAAATTTGACCTCAGATACTTACTAGGTGTGTGACCCTGGGCAAGTCACTTAACCCCGTTTTTCTCAGTTTCTTTATTTGTAAAATGAGCCAGAAAAGGAAATGGCAAACCACTCCATTATCTCTGCCAAGGAAACCCCAAATGGTGTCACAGAGTCAGACAGTATTGGAATGACTGAACAACAACAAAAACTCCCTGTGACGCCTCTCCTATTTTCCATGATCTTTGAGAGATTGATAGTGGCTCAGCAACTAACTATACCTGGGCCAAGTAAGTTGAATTCATCTATGCTAAGTAGGTGATTTCTTGCTTGTTCTTGACTTACCTTGGGCATAAATTTTCCATTGGTTATTTTTCTGTTGTCATTCCCTATATAAAAATCCTTCTTTTCCGAGAAAACAGAAACAAAGCAAGAATTTGGTAGCTCTGTTGTCAGTGGTCATTGTCTCATCTGTGCCCACCCAAGGTTCTGTCTCTTCTTGAATTCTCCTTTTTCTTCTAGTATGTCTTCAAAAACAGAACAAAACAAACAAACAAAAAAGCTAACAAACTCTTCTTATACTTCACTTCTTCTCCCTCGACTCAGCTCGTTCAAAGCTTTAACGTTCCTGATGCTCATTTTATAGGACTTTGCCATGCATTTATATTAATCTTGCCTCCATTTTCTGTATATTTCTTTTTTAAAAAATCTAAAGTGGTAGGCAAGTTCCTTGTCCATCCTCATTTGTCTCTTTGGCTATATCTTGTAGTGTGTTTTTCCTCTTCCTTGAAATTGTTTCTTTGTAGGTCTTCAGAATTTTATTCTTGAACATTGCCCATCCCTCCTGGGCAGACTTCCCTTAAAGCAGTCCTGCACAACCTGTGGCCCTCCAAAAGAATTTCAGGGGGCCTTCGAAAACTGTAGGGGAAAGCCTCCTTTGGCATGCCCACGGGCCACGGGTTGCGCAGGCCTACCTTACAGCATTTCAATCTATGGGATCCTACCTACCTTTCCTCTGAACTCTTTGAAATCTCTTTTCTTAAAATCTAGGGTTATGTGTCAGGCTGTGCCCTAATATCCTCTAGTTCTTTATCATAAGCTCCACACAGAGTGATCATTTCCCTTCAAGTTTCCCATCATTTCTGCCCCACCAGCGAGATCTTCTCTTAGTGAAAATCAGATTCAGAATAGAATTTCCCTTTGTTGGTTCCTCTGTGTTTTGAAGGATGAGCCAAATCAAGAATTTAATATCTGTTCTGCTTTTAGCAGAGAAGGAGACCTCTAGCAGATGGCCAGATAATTGAAGTTCCCCATCACTACTTTGTCATACCTCTGTACCTGGCCTGTAATCTATTTTCCCAAATCATCATTTATTCTTTCTTTCTTTCTGTCAAGGTAGTCTGTAGTATAATTCAGTGAAAAATCACTTCTGTGTCTCCATCCTTTAATCCTCACCTAAATACTCTCCATGATGCTTCCTTCTTCTGGTTCCTGGATTTCCTCACATACCCTGATATATTTTTAATGTAGAATGTTACCCTACTCCCAACCATTTTTACTTGTCCTGTTTTGTTTTGAAGAAGGTATATGCATCCAGAACCATAGTCTAATAATAGGTTTCATCCCACCAAGTCTCAGTGATACCTCTTAGGGCAAGTATGCCCCCTTGAATTAAAACTTCTCATTTCTCTTGTTTGTTGCCTAAACTTTGAGCATTGTATATAGACATTTGAGGCTATGGATTTTACTTCTAGCTTCTTTCTTAAATATTGTCTCCTGTGAATTTCTGGGAATATCAGCTGCTATTCTTCCTTCTTTGTGGCTACTTTCTATAGGTCTAAGATCACATACTAACTCTTCTTTCTTGCATTTAAAACTCTTCACAACCCAGAACCTTCCTACCTCTGCAGTCTTCTCATACATAACTTTTCTCCATGTACTTTATGGTTCCTCTATACTAGCCTTCTTGCTTTTTCTTATATGTGATGCTCCATTTCCCGTCCCACCCATGCCTTGGTTGGCACCAGCTGTGCTCCCATACCTGGAATACCTCCCTCCTTACTTTCATCTCTTAGAATCCCTAGTTTACTTCAAAACTCGGGTCAAGTGCTACATTCTATTTAAGCCTTTCCTAATTCCTCTAGCTTCTGGTCCTCTCCCTCCCATAAGTATTTTGTATTCATAATATATATGTATATGTATACTTATACATATGTATGAGTCATACACTTATGTGTCTGCATTCTGTGTCCCACTTTAGAATATAAGCTCCTTAAGTGAAAAGACTGGTTTTACACTTTAAGGGATAGTACATTAACCTAGGACAACTGTTCTCAAAAGTGTGGCCCACAGATCTTTGTAGGTTGGCAGTAGAGTGGGGAGAGGAGTAAGCATTTATATAGAGCCTACTATATGCCAGACATTGTGCTATGCACTTTATATAAGTTATTTACAATATCCTTGCAAGTTAGGTACTGTCATTATCCTCATTTTACAGTTGAGGAAACTAAGGCAGAGTTCAGTGACTTGCCCGGGGTCACACAGCTAGTAAATACCTGAGTCTGGATTTTAATTCAGGTCTTCCTGACTTAAGGCTCAGGGCTCTATCCACTATACCACCTAGCTGCCTCTGGTTCCCAAGATTCTTTCAAGGGATCTGTGGGGTTGAAACTATTTTCACAATAATTTGAAGATATCTTTGCCTATTAAAATACTCCTCCCTTTTCTAACTTTGTGTCTATATAAGGCTGAATTTTCTTCAACCAAAATGACATAGTATAACAGATTGAATGGAGAGGTAGATATGACAATCCAGCTGTCTTTTATTAAGCCAGCTGTTAAAGAGATTTGCAGAAATATGTAAAAAAACAGTGCCAATTCCTCACTAAAAATTTTTTTAATTTGGAGAATATATTTTTCATAAAATATGAGTTGTTGTTTATTATTGTTATTATTATTATTATTATTTTGAAATGAATAATTATTTTATCATTTTTAATGTCTGCTATGGTAAATATTGATAAATATGATGCACATAAAGAAAAGCTCTTTGGAGTCCTCAATAATTTTTAAGAGTGTAAAGGGTCCTTAGACCAAAAATTTTAAGAACTGCTGCCCTAGAGTAAGGTCATATTTTCCCCTTCAGGAAGTATGCTTCTTGTGGGCAGCGATTGTGTTTTTTGCTTTTCTTTTGTATCCTCAGGCTTAGCACAGTGCCTGGCACATAATGAACCTTAATAAATGCTTGTTGATTAAATTATTGATTGACTATATTGCCCTTCTACTGAATCAAATCCAGTGCCTTCCCTGTTACCGCTAGGAGCAAATATAAACCACTCTATTGTTTAATGCTCTTTGCAACCCAGCCTCATCCTCTTTTTTCAACATTCTTATGTATTCCCTTCCGTGAACTCTACAGTTTAGCCATATCAGTGTCCTTGCTGTGCCCCACAAAGTACACTTTACCCCTGCCTTATCTGAACCTTGGCACCAGCTGTCCCCTGTGCCTCAAATATACCCTAGCCTGACTTTTTACCTCTAGGGATCCTTGGTTTTCTTAATGATTTGGTTGAGTACCACCTTCTGGATGAGGCCTTTTCTGGTTCCATTAGCTGCTGGTGCCCTCTTGAAGACTGTCTTGTATCTGCATTGTGTGTGACTTGTATAGATATATACATATTGTCCTACCCATTAGAATCTGATCTCCTTTGAGGGCAAGGAGTTTCATTTTTGTCTTTGTGTTATCTACACCTCATACAATGCTTGGCATATGCTAGGCACCTAATACATCCTTGTTGACTGATCGTTTGCCACATTGTAGATATTCAATATATTTTTGTGAATTGGAAAATGCCTTTCATAACACTGTGGTCACCCTGACACACCCCAACTTCTCCCTTCTCTTAATCATTTATAATATTTTTCTTAGTTTGAGGTTTGGGAAATAAGTTTGACTGAATAGTGGTAAGGGTAAGGGTAACGGCATTTGAATGGCTACTCTGCATTTCCTGAGTTAGCTGTTCATAGAAACTTAGTGGTAATTGGCATTCAGCTTTTTAAACTAAAACGAATAATACCCTAGGATTCTCAGTTGGTTTTGCAGTATCCTTTTGTGACTTTGAAGTATCCCTTTATCTTTTCTGAGCCATCACTGTCTGGCAGTGTTTCCTGGCTTATCTGAACAGCATTCCTGACAATTCTGAGCTCTGTTTTCATTCTTCTGATTATTGCAGTGTCTCTTGGAAATATCTGGTCTCCTAGCTTGTCAGAATAGGAGTGGGGTAGGTGAGAGCCTGTCATTTATTGATTTTCCTCATTTTGTGCTGTTTTGCTAAATTAGGAAAGAAAAAAGGTTTCTTCGGTTGGAATTTGCTCTGATTTTTTTTAAATCAACAGTTTGCCTCAGCTTGACTTTTTTCTTTTAAATGTGTATCTCTGTTTAGGAAGCTATTTTGCTAGCCACTTCATCATGGGAGGAGAAAAGTTCGACTCAACTCACCCTGAAGGATATCTGTTTGGAGAGAACAGTGATTTGAACTTCCTGGGAAACAGGCCAGTAGCGGTATGTTACCTAGATTTAATTCATTTTTGTAGAGTCATTTACATTACTGAGATGGCAAAGATTAGTCTCTACTTTTTTTATAGTTTGACATAAAACTGAAACATTCAGACATTTAGTTGTGTTTCTAAGCCATTTTTGTCTGACTTTCATTCTCTGATGAATGTATCAGGATAAAAAGCAAATACCACAAATAAAAGTTTTTTTTTAAACCAGGTCATGTGAGAATCTTTAACAGTTCTATAATCTTTTCCCCTTTTGAATTCATGTTTTTCAGTTTCCATTCATTTATTCAACAAATAATTATTGAGTGCCTACTATATACTACACAGCAATATTACTATGCTAGGCTTTGCTAAGGATATAGATGATGCATACCACATATCCTTCTGCCTTCAAGAAACCTATAGTTCATCTGGGGAAACAAAACAAATAAATATGTGACATTTTAAAATAGTAATAATAAATAATATTAGCATTCAGGACATACCCTGATGCCTCATCTTGGTATAGAGAAGGCTTTGGCTTTTTAAAGGGTCTCAGTAGCAAATGAACTCTAGAAGGCTGTAGAAGGTACTGCCATATGTGATCTGCAGCAGAGACAACTTAGTTATGTGTAGAGGGGCTCATCACCATAAGGCTGCCCATGAAGTGATTTCATTCATTTCATCAAATGGCCTTTTTAAGAATGGAGGAGTTATGACCTACCTTGGTGGACAGAACATCCATATTCATGACCGTTGAAGTTTTGAATCAAGCATGTGATCAAACAGTATAAGAGTGGAGAGAATAGAGAGATTAAGGAGCTGCTGCAGTATAAACAAAGTGGAACTTGAAGCAAGTTTTGAAGGATGACTTCCTAAGAAAGATGACATGAAAGGTGACAGCTCAGCCTAGATCCCCTAAGAAACTGCCCAGCAGAGGGTAGCAGAGGAAGCAATGGTCCATCAAATCAAAGAGTAAGGGAGTAAGGAGTAATAATAGTAAGTCCCTCCATTCAATCCAACACTGCATTAAGTAGATAGCCAGAAACCAGTGAGGGGCTGTGACTGGGGGATGTGCCCAGAGGATCTTGGCCTTGGCTTGACAGAGCTGTAGTAGGGGACAAAGCCAGCTTCCTAGAGGAGCTGACCAAGAAAACAGAGAGGAGGCAGAGGAGCCTGGGCACAGAGGTGCCTAGGCAAACTTTGGGGCCCTCTTGGGTGTCTGAGACTAGAATGATCTCTGATATTCTCTTGGAGTCACAGAAAGGGACAAAGCCAGATCCTAGTCAGGGATTGCTTAGGGAGAGAGATGGGACAGAGGTACTGAGGCAGCCCATAAGGCGGGGGCTTCTCCAAGAGGCCTAAAACCATTGCCATCTTTGATATTTCCTGGTTCCACACGGAATCAAGAAGATGAAGATGAGGTAGACAGTCTTGGGGCCCTCCAGGAAGTCTGAAGCCATTACTATTTTTGATATTTGGTCAGTCTGTCAGGGCTACAAGAGGAGACAAAACCAAGGTTGTTGATTGCAAAAGAAGGAGAGGGAGATGGGCTAAGGCCCATGTCTGCTTTGGGCCACCAGGAAAAGAAGGCATAAGCCCTGGATTGAGTTAGAGGACAGTACGTACTCTCAGCTCTAGGCCCACCTTCCTGTTATGGGCAAGGATTGAAGAAGAGGGCAGAGAGAAGGACTAGGGACCAGATATCTTTATCCATAACCATGACAGGACAGTGGCAACATATCCAGACTGCAGAGGAGACAGGACTAATGCTCATCTATCCAATCCAAGAGTGCAAGAGTTAGTGAAACCTGGCCCCAAAAGAGAGTCCAAGTATGGGTATTGAGGCTGGACACATGAGTAGACAGAAAAATGCTCTTAATACAATGAAGAAATACTATGGGTTAAGAGAAGCATAAGAGGTAAACTTGAAAGAGAAAATAATTCCGCAGTAAGTACAAGGAGATCCTCTGAAAAAAGAGTGGCTTCAAGAGCTGATGGAGGAAATGAAGTAAGAAATTACACAATAAAATTAGGGCCTTTGAGAAAAAAATTAGAAAAAGAATAAATAGCTTAGAAATGAAGGTGAAAAACATGGTACCTTGGAAAACAGAATGGAGCAAAATAATTATCATTCTAAGAGAAAATAAGAAATATGAAAAAAAATAAAAAGACTAGAAAATTAGAAAAACATGTGAGGTATCTACTACCAGAAACAACTGACCTAGAAAAGAGGTCAAGGAGAGATATTTTAAAAATCATTGGACACTCTGAAAACCATGACCAAACTAAAACTCTGAATATTTTAACAAATCATTTTAAAAGTTAAGTTCTATTAGAAGCAGAGGATAAAGTAAAACTAGAGAAACTTCAGAGAGAAACTGAATTGAAAATAACCAGGTATGCTATAGCCAAAATCCAGAGCTTCAAGGTTAGAGAAAAATATTACAAATAGAAAAGATAGAGTTGAAGTACCAAGGAAATCATTTAGGCTTACATAAGATCATATTGCAACAACGGTGAAGGAGAGGAAATCTTGGAATAGAGTGTGCCAAAATGCAAAAAAGGAAAAAACCTTAAAACCAAAAAATAACTTATCCTACAAAAATGAGTATACTCCTACAGGGGAGAAAATATATCTTTAATAGAATAGAGGACTTTCAGCCATTCCTAATGAAAAGATGAAAACTGAGTAGAATTTTTGAAATGCAAACACAAGAGACAAGAAAAACCTAGAAAGTTAAATATATTTGAACAATTTTAAGTACCTAAATCATAAGCCAATGCTTAGCTTCTAATAGGAAGAAGTCTTTTCATGTGTTTTCATAATCCTATTGTCCTCAATGGTCATAAAGGGAGTAAAGAAAAGAAAAGGCAAATGTTACAACAGAGAGTGGTTTGTTTGTTTTTTTAAGAGAAGAAAGAAAGGGAAAAGGAAAAGGATATGCTAGAGAAGAAATGAAAAGGAAGGAAGAGGAACTTATTTTTTCTAACATTTGAGTTATGCCAGAAGAGTATACAAATGTGGAGAAAGGGGCAACTCATGAACTTCTCTCTTATCTGAACCAAGTGAAGGAGGATTTAACACACAAACACACATGCACACATACACAGATACGTGTGCGCACACACAGAATATGATGTAGAAATGCTTAACTTCAATTGGAGAATAAGCAGGATCAGGAAGCTGAGAGAGTGGGGTTTAAGAGGGAGGATAGAATTGGGAGAGAATAGTCACAAGCAAAAGAAATTCAATTATGGAGGGTAAATCATAAAAGGAGAATTAAAAAGAGAACTAAAGAGTGAGAATCAGTGATTTGGCTTTGCTCTGGATTAAAAGTAGGGGCTCAGAGGAGTAGGATCACACTGCTTCAATTGTAGGTTCCTAGTATCCATTCTATTCTTTCTTTCCTCACCTTTTTTCTTTGTAAAGTGGGACTGGGGAGCCAAGAAAAGAAAAAAAAAAGTAAAAGAATGGTATTATGAAGGGAAAAAAAAACCACCTCTAACAATCATAACTGTGAATGTGAATGATATGAATCCACCCATAAAATGAAGAAAGGAAGCATACTGGATTAAAAAGCAGAATCCAGCAATATATCATTAACAGGAAACACATTTTAGAAACAACAACAAAAAAACACATTGAGTTAAAGCAAAGTATAAATCCTAAAAAGCGAGAGTAGCAATCATTATCTTAGACAAGACACCAGCAAAAATAGTAGTGGTTAAAAGAGATCTACATTATATAAGCGATATGTGTATACATTAAACACACCATCAATAGTGAAGTAATATTTTGTTTGTTTTTGCTTTTTTGGCGAGGCAATTGGGGATAAGTGACTTGCCTACGGTCACACAACTAGTGATTATCATGTGTCTGAGGCCGGATTTGTACTCATGTCCTCCTGACTCCAAGGCTGGTGCTCTATCCACTGCACCATGTAGCTGCCCCATAATAATGAAGTAATATTAATACTTAACATATACATACTGAATGGCATAACCTGTAAGTGTCTAAAGGAAAAACTAAACAAACTATAGGGAAGAAATATATCACAAAACTCTTTATAGTTGGAGACCTCAATATGCTCTTTTCAGTAGTAGAAAAGCTTAAGAAAAAGATAAGCAAGAAAGAAGAGACCTGAATAGAAATTAAGAAAAGAATTTAAGAAGATATGATAGATGTCTAGAAATTAGTGAATGGGAATAGAAAAGAATATACATATTTCAGGCATTCAATGGCACTTGTGCAAAAATTGATCATGTGTTAGATCAGATAAAACCTCATAAACAGATAAGAAAAAAAGATATGTTAAACACTTCTTTTACCACAGTGCAAAAATATTATAATCAACAAAAGGCCTTTGAAGAAAGAGTTTAAATTAATTAGAAACTAAGTAAATCAATCCTAAAGAATTATTGGGGGAAAATAATAGATCTTTGCATTTTCTTTAATGAAATTAATAAGATAATATACCAAAAACTTTTGGGATGCAACCAAAGTGATCCTTTACAGTAAATTTTTGTTTTGTTTTTTGTTTGTTTGTTTGTTTTGCTAGGCAATGGGGTTAAGTGACTTGCCCATGGTCACACAACTAGTTAAGTGTCAAATGTCTGAGGCTGAATTTGAACTCAGGTCCTCCTGACTCCATGGCTGGTGCTCTATCCACTGCACCACCTAGATGCCCCTCTTTTGTTTTTTGTTTTGTTTTTACAGTAAATTTTGCATCACCAAACACTTTAATCAGCAAAAAAGAGAGAGAATAAATTAGTGAATTGGGCATACAACTTAAAAAAAAAAGGAGCTAGAAAAGGAACTGATCAAACAACAAAAACTAAGCACCAAAATAAATTATTTTTTGTAGTTTTTGTTTTTTTAATTTAATATTTTATTTTTCCCCAATTACTGGTAAAAACAATTTCTTCATTCTTTTTTTAAAAATATTTTTGAGTTTTAAGTTGTCTCATTCTTCCTCCTTTTCCCCCAGCCCCTCATTGAGAAGCAAGCAATTTGAT